AGAAGGGGACTTTGTCTGTAGAGGTATGCTTCGTGTGCTGTTGAATGAAATATATACCTTWACTTTGAGAGAGCAACACAAAATTAAAATACAGAAAAGAAAAGAAAAGTCATAATAAGGGAAGGCGCTATGTTTTGTAAAACGCTCAAGAAAAAAGATAAAAAAATAACTATTAGCCATCTTGTTTTTGGCGGGAAAGGACTTGAATTGATTGAAGGGAAGAAAAAACATAGCCTCCTCCGCAGGCATCTCTCATACTCTCTCTCTCTCTCTGAGGAAGTCTGGGAACAACAGTCTCCCCGCCTCTCACCAAAGGAAGCCCAACCGTTCGTAAATTAAAAGAATCTAGGAGTTATAGAGTTTCAGTCTCCCTGCCTCTCACCAAAGGAAGCCCAACCGTTCGTAAATTAAAAGAATCTAGGAGTTATAGAGTTGCCTGCGGAGGAGGCTAGAAAAAACATATCATTGCGGGTTTTGCGTCAACACAGGGATCCCGCAGATGACAGTTATAACTAATCAGTTCATAATTTCGTTTTGTTTTCCACAGATTTTTGTCCAGCTGGTACGTTCTCAAAAGACGGTATGAGCCCATTCTGTACATTGTGTCCACAAGGCCAGTACCAGGACCAAACCGGGCAAACTAAATGCACCGTTTGCCCACAAAACAAGTTTACAAACACTAAGCTTGGAGCTACTTCATGTCAAGGTATATGTTGACGTAGCTTGGCTGTTCATGGATGTTCATGGCCTATTCTTACTATCTTTTATTGCAAAATTATGTCAAAYAGCGTTTATGATTGTGCTCTACAACCTCCCGTCCCGGCCTTTTTAACTCGAAGATTGCGAAGCAATCGAAGAGTTATTGGAGGGGGACGAATCTGTCACTCACTCAATCACTCACTCACTCACTCACTTTCCTGTAAACTTGAGCCTGCGTTATTTGTGTTCAGAAATATTTATTTATTCTCATTGTTCTCTATTAATTTTCTCATTAAGTTACCGTTATCGGGTTGCCTGTTCTATATTTGATTGAATTTATTTATTTTTTGGCAAAGAAAGAAATCTAAAGAAATGTCAGCTCCTCTGAGTCTTGAACTTCAGAACTCTGAATTAAGCCCCGTCTAGACGAGCAATTTTTATGCGACAATTTTTAATTGCCGTGTAGATGAGCAAAATTGGACAAATTTTATGTGATAACTGTAGTTGCTGGAATGCTGGCATGCTAGTTTTTATGTAATTGTCACATATCGGGCGTCACATAAATGTGGTAATTATTTCGACGTCACACTGAATCCACGTCTCAACATTTTGCACACCAACCAAGATGGCGACATCGATAGTAAGCAGAACGACTGGATTCAACAGAGAGAATGCTATTATTGTTGTTGCAAGAGCTAACACCAACTAAATTTGTTTTAATAAAACTTTAAAGAATACGATATATTTTTTTTAATCTTAACATGTTTCAGCATTACATTATGCCATCCTCATTCTTCTGAAACATGTTAAGATTAAAAAATATAAAAATAAAAAATATATCTAAAAAATATATTTAAAAAAATATATAAAAAAATATTAAAAAATATATCGTATTTTTTAAAGTTTTATTATCTCTAGTGCTACTACGAAACTATGGTAATTAAATTTGTTTTGTTTATGACATCTCCGCTGTGCAAAATCACAGTTGGCGCGGAACTTCAACAATAATTTCTGGCTGCCTGTCAACATGGACAGAAAAAATGTCACATATAGTTGTCACATAAAAACTTGCTCGTGTAGACGGGTCTARGAAATCGAAGGCACTTCCATTCGGCCACGCGTATAATTGTGGTTAGACTTGTCTGTGAAGTGCAGGTGCTAGCTCCTGGTTGTCAAGAATCAAAGTTAAAAATAATTAGTTTTAGCGAAAAAAAAACTGTATTCATAAATCGTTCACATTAAAATTCCATTTGTAAAGTAAATCATAATTTGATTCGTCTTACCATTCAGTAACAAAGGTTGAAGCAAGCAAAGAAGACGATCCTTCAAATTCGTCGTTTTGAAATGATTGTACGAAGGTGCTGGCCCGTGCTTATCGAGAACCCAAGTTAATATTTCTTGATATTTCATTTTAGAGGATGTTAAAATACTTATATATCCCTCCTTTGACGCACAGAACACAAAAGACTTGGTTGAGGAAAACTAGTTTCGACTTTACTAAACCTTTTCAATTCACAACAGTTGTAGATCGAGGAATTGAAAAAGTTGAAAAGCTCTAGTAAAGACGAAACTAGTTTTCCTCAACCAAATCTTGTGTGTTCTGTGCGTCAAAGGAGGGATAACAGTTGTTTGACATCCTCTAAAATCAAGTTTATATTCTTGCACTCCTTATACATCAACATTCAAAGACTATCTGAATTCAATTTGAAAGTGTTTTTTGCATAATAGAGGCTTACAGGCTGTAGCACATCTGTTGCTTCTAGATACAAATCCAAAATTTCATTGCGGACTTACTTGGATAATTTCTTTGTTATCTAGGTTTGAACATAAATGTACCAAAAACACAAATTTCTCTCTCCGACATATTAAGATATTTTAAGAAATTGTCCCTACAATTAGCCTTGTTAAAGCGGGTACTATTTGACTGTTTCATGGTACATGGGATATTGCTTTTTAAACAAAATTGTTTTTTGGCACACTAAAACCACATCTTTTGTCTATTGACTGTATCAATAAATCCTTGATACGGTTAAACCACAAATTCTTTGATGATCCAATTTAAGTAAATATCTACTTGGCTGTTTGTAGAAGTTTATATTGTTTGATTTAATTGGACTAGAGACATCGATTGTTATTATTGGTTTTTGACACTTGCGGTGATTTTTTTGCGTCTTTCGCTGTCAGATGTAGCGCTACTACACGTGGCAGCATTTACCCAAAGATCGCAAATTTTACATATTTGTGGCTAAAACAAAAGTCAAACTTAGTAGTTTTTGGGTAATTTCATCAGTAATGAATGTGGAGAAATGAAGCCATAATGTAACTTTAAGCTCTTTATGTTGGAAGCCCACGTGATCATGTGATCACTAGTATTCGTCGATTTGCTTCACCTTTGCT